TGACGAACCACCTCGCTCACCTCATCACTGGCGTGATCCCTGGTCGGAGATTGAGGAGGGGAATGTACCGCCAACACCTCCGCGAGACTCACTCGGTCCAATCTCCCGCCCAGATCCGTACGCCCGCTTCATCGAAGGCACCACGACCCCGCTCACGATCATTCCCGATCGCGAATTTCTCGCCCTGTATCTCTCAACGGCACTTGCAGAAGGGGAAGCAACGGCAGAAGCAGAAGCTGAGGAGGAGAACAACGAAGCAAAACCAGGAGAAGAGGAAGAACCCCCACTCCAGATCCCAGAACTCACAGCGGAGGAGGCAGCAGAGTACCACACCCGCTACAAGCGCACCTCCGGCATCCGTGCCGAAGATGACCTCTGGCACCAACGGATGGGACACCCCTCGCGCCATACACGCGCCAATTTCCTCCGTGCAAAAGTTTTTCCGCCAGGAGCACTACTGCGCCCCGACGGGACGGAGTTACAACACACCACCCCCTATCCAACCACTTGCACTGTCTGCCCTACAGCCGCACTCTCTCACACTTCCTATCCCTCTCTGGAGCCAAGCACCAACCGCTACAAGAAATTGGAAAAGGTGTACAGCGATTTCATCGTACTCACCTGCGACGGACTCAACGGCGAAAAGTACACGCTGACCTTCATCGACGCCTACTCACGCCACGTGTGGGTTGCCAATGTTGACGCCCGCTCCAAAGCCCCGGAGGTGTTCCGTATCTTCCTCGCGCACGCGCAGCGACAGTCGGGAAGGAAACTGAAGATCTGGCAGAGTGATGGGGCAAAAGAATTTCGCAGCCATGAACTAGAGAGCGTGCTCACCGAGAAGGGGATTAAGCATGAGATTTCCCTTCCCTATGCTCACCAACAGCAAGGCGTTGCTGAGCGGGTCAATCGGACCCTCATGACTAAAGTTCGCGCCATCATGAACCAGTCTGGCCTGCCAAAGAAATTTTGGCCGTACGCCATGAATCACGCGGTGCGCCTGCACAACATCCTTTCCACCACCGCCAACACAGATAACCTGTCACCCCACATGAAGTGGACCGGTTCAAGGGGAGATCCCTCCATGCTAAGGGTTTGGGGGTGCATGGTGCAGTATCGGCCCACTTCGGCCACAATCAGCAAGTTCGTTCATCGTGCACGCTGGGGAGTTCATCTAGGACTCAGCCACGAGCACAAAGGATGGCTCATCCTTGACATGGACAATCAGGAAATTGTCCCTGTGCGTGACATTCTTTTCTACGAACGGCTCACCTTGACGCAATGGATTGAGGACGAACGCCGTAACCAGGCACGCGGCTACACCAACAGCGGCCGCAGCTTCGCGACCCCTGAAGATGAAGCAGCAGCAGCAGTTCTGGACCGCGACGACACCGACGAACATCCCAGCACCCCCCCTCGCCCGCGCGACGACGATGACGATGACAGCGACGACGACCCCGCGCCAGGACCATCACGGCGCCAGAAAGAACCAAGCATCGCACCACCTAGCTACGAGAGCGGAGATGACGACGTGATTGAAGTCCCCACCAACGCAGACACCACCAACGTGTCAGGCCTTCAACTTCTTGGCCTGCACACATCCGTCTCTACTCTCGCGCGGACCGTGGAACCTAACAACCCTCGCCAGGTGCTAACCGGCCCACATGCCAAGGAGTGGCGTGCTGCGATGGATGCGGAACCGAAAGCACTGGAATCGCGCGACACTTGGGTTCTAGTCGATCGTGCAGCAGTGAAGGGGAGGAGGATGCTCAGCGGGAAATGGGTCTTTCGTCTCAAAACTAACGCTGACGGCACTATTGAGCGCTTCAAAGCACGTTGGGTCGTACGCGGGTACGACCATCATCACGGCATAGACTTCGACCAGACCTTCGCTCCTGTCAGTCGCCATACCTCGGTCCGGATTCTACTCGCTATTGCTGCCGCGAAGCACCTACCACTGCGACAGATCGACGTGAAGAACGCGTTTCTGTACGCGTTGGTGGATGCCACCATCTTTGTGGAGCAGCCGCACACCTACGGAGAAGGTGATCCCAGGGTCTGTCAACTGAAAAAGTCACTCTACGGGATCAAACAGGCGCCACGACTCTGGCAGCAACATCTGCACAAAATCCTCCTTGAAATCGGCTTCAAAGAACTCCCACACGACCTGGGAATGTATCGCCTCCACTTCAGCGGCGATTACATCCTCCTGACAGTCTACGTAGACGACCTGCTGTACACGGGGACCTGCAACAAACTCCTTGACCAATTTCAGGAGAACCTGGCGCAGCGCGTGGACATCACCATCAACCTCGAAATAAAGCAGTTTTTGGGGTTAAACATCACTTACGCGCCAGAAGCAATTCATCTGTCAGCCTCCAAGTACGCAGAGCAGCTGGGGGAACGCTTCAACATCTCACCCGCACCACTCTCAACTCCCTACCGCAGCCCGAGCACCAACTACAAACCAGACAACAAATCTCTGTCGCCCGCAGGACTACAAATGTACCAGCAGAAGTTGGGGTGCCTGCTATTCGCCTCTGTCACCTGCCGACCCGACCTCTCGTACATCGCTAGCCAACTGGCGCAGTACTCTCGCAAGCCAGTAGCTGAGAACCAGCTGGACTTGGAGCGCGCCCTGCAGTACTTCATCTCCACACCTGACATCGGGCTCTCCTACTCCACATTGACGACGACCTCTTCAACCTCAACGGCTACGTAAACGCAGACCACGCAGCTGATCCTGCAAATCGACGGTCCCGAATCAGCTTCGTTTTTCGTCTGGAACCAACTGGACCGATCTCCTGGAACTCACAGAAGCAGGAGCTGGTTGCCCTGTCATCAGCTGAAGCAGAATACATCGCCGCGACAGCAGCAGTTCGCGAAGGCCTGTACCTGCAGGAGCTGCTGCAGGAGGCAAAAATTCCAACCTCGCCTACCTTTCGCCTTCACTGTGACAACCAGAGTGCCATCAAAATCGCGAACAAGCCAGGATTCGTGAACCGCACAAAGCACATCGCGCTTCGGTATTTTTTCGTCAAGGACGAAATCGACCAAGGCAAAGTGGACCTCGCTTACTGCCCGACCACTGAGATGGCAGCAGACTTCCTCACCAAGCGCCTGCCACCTCAGCAGTATAAGCACTGCTCTGATCTCACCGGAGTAGTCAAGCGAGTCAGCTCCACCCGCACCCAGGAATGAAGGGGAGTGTTACGACGTGAAGTTTTATGAGAAGGCATTCCTGTATGCTGCAGGAGCCGACTCTACCGAGTACGAAGTTGAGGAGTCAGAAGAGCCGAAGCGACGCAGCAATCGTCAGACCAAGACCGATGCAGGCAGAAACATTTGAAGTGAAAAGAGCGGGAACAGGTTTTGAACGGGTTCCCGCGCCGCACGGTTTCTGAATTCAGTTGTAATAAGGGAATGTACCCCTTAGAGTACATGGCTAGTCTAGGTCCTTTCGTATTCCCTTGTACTCTTATATAAACTCGATGTATGCATGCTATTATCAACTCAGTCATTTACATTCACTCTGACCTGAGATTCAAACTTTCGCTGCAACACTACTCCGCGATCAACCCTGAGCGATCCTTTGCTAAGTCCCACTTGGGATTGTAACAGGGCGTTCGCCAGACACCCACTTTGATTGTACATTTGGACGATTGGGGAGGCTCGACACCTTTTTTACGGGCTGACCAGGCTGACGGAGGTAAACGAACCCTAACTGACGGGATCAGGAAGGCGAGACCCACCTTCCTGATCCCGTCATTATCCCATGGTTTTTTGCTTCATTGGTGCTGGCGAACAGCACCATTGTTCTCACGAACAAGCCATGAGTCCGCCATGGATTCCTCCGCGTAACTTCGGAAGCCTGTTACGTGAAGGTTACGGCCCTGTTCGATAGGCTAACACTAACGCCCGCGGAATCATCGCGGCTGTTTCGAATTAGGATTTATTTCCACGGTCAGCCCGTAATTTGGTGTCATGGGGTTTTAACGCTCTGGATCCTAGAGGGCTAGTGTTAGCCTGTCGAACGCTACTTTTAACCCTTCAAAATCATCCCCCACGAAAGCTCCAAGTCCCTTCTCACACGCACAGAGGTTAGCCTAGCTCCAGCCCAGCCCTCGCACCCCCGGAATGGGGGTTGGCCAAGGCATAGGCTAGGGTTCCATATGAGAGGGGATACCCACCCCATACCTCATGAAAGTTTTCCTAGCAGGGCCCATGCTCCAACCTCACCCATCTCTGCCCTGAAAAAATTCCCCTCCTCTTGACTCGTGAGGGATTTGTGGGTTTGTTTTTCACCCTTGATTTACCCAGGTTCAAGTGGGGAGCGGTGTTCGGACCTTGCCCACGATGACGATGGTGGGAGGAGGGGGTGCAACATCGCTGAGACAACCCCCTCCTTCCGATCTCGGGATGGGCTGCTTCCGATCTCGAGGGGGGGGGGGGGGGGGGTTAGCCCTTCAAAAATTTCTCCGAACCCTCCTCCAAACGCTAGCCTAACGCTAGCCCTGCAAGGAGGTGGCTGCCTATCGAACAGGGCCTACGTGTCAGTTGGTAACTACGACTTCAGATCCGTTATCATGAGCACATTCTTAAGCAGAGGATACATTTTTTATGTCTACTACGTAGACATTGTAACCTTCGCTGCTCATGTCAGGCTCGCGGTTACAAACATATCTCAAGCCAAGATCATCCCAAGGCTCCCTGATTCTATCGCAAGTCTTACATGGTTTTTAAGATCTCCACGACAACAGCATCATGCTACACTTTTTGGCAATATCAACAACTATTTCAAGACATTATCAAGGCATGTTCCCAAGGCTTTTACCTGGGGAACGCATCATTTCGATCAGGAACGCAAGTCCATGGCAACAAGGAAACTAGTTAAGGAGATGGTGCTCAGCAGTCAGGCAGCGGAAGCGTCAACTGCTTCTATCATCACCAGGGAGTCTCAGACTCTCCCTCTGCTGCAATCTTTGCTTCATCATCGCACCATGGCTCCCAGGGGTCGCTCGGCGAAGGCTTCAGCTGACGCTCCTCCTCCTCACACCAACCAGCCTGAGGTCGATCAGCCTGTCGTCGACCAGTCTGATGTCAACCAACTTGTTCCTGAAAGGGAGCCTGCGGACAAGCATATCGCGTCAGATGAGATCAACACGGCTCTGAACAATGAGACTACAGCGGCAACCTTTGTCTCCACGTCAAGATTACCTGCTCCGGCCGCCGGCAGCTCCGGTCTTTCCGTTGAAGATAAGATTCAGTCGAGTCAGCCTGCTATAATGGTGGAACAACAGTTTTTGGAGGATGACTCTGATGAGGAGTTAGACATTGATATCGCAAAGGAAGATGCTTTTCGCCTTCGTTACACCGTGATCTTACTCATTCCGATGGTTTTGTCTCAGGAGATTAAAGCCATTATTGCTGCAGTACGTCTCCTCATGCAAAAAGTGTGGTGCTCGTCTCTGACTCCGAATGCCGGTGTTACGGCGAACATTCAGGAGATGACTCCTGGTTTTGTGGCCAAGACGCGGTTATGTCGGCTGCAGATATCCTTCCTCGACAAACGCGATGCTCACCACATCAAGTTCCATGTTTTCGAGTACCAGAAGACGAACAGTCCGTCGATCAAGTGTATTTGGCAGCACACGGAGGACCTGTCTTACCTAAAGGAGAAGGCTGCTCATCCTCTCGCTATTGAAGTGCTTTTCAAACGTGTTCCTGCTAAATACACTGTTGCTGGATGTGCTGAAGGATTTGCTGGTCTGTTTCAAGCTGAAGATGAGGAAGCAGTCAGCTTTCATGGAAGGCTTCGCCTTCCACCGCGTGGCTCACCCGCTTACCAGAGCAGATACCGATGTGATAAAAGGGCTGGTGGTTCAGCACTCTGGTGACCGCTACCGCTGGCGTCATACCGTTGACAGCCCGATGGAGCGTGACGCGAAGCTGTTGGTCCACTACCGTGCATTGACATGCCTGCTTTGTGGAGGACAACATTATGACATCCATCATAATCTGTTCGTCACAGAGCGGCAGAACAACATAGGGAAGTGGAACTTAACCCTGGGGAAAATCCATTGTATCAATGGTAAGTGCGGCGTTTTTAATCCCTGTAATCCCATCTTACCCTCTTCGCCTTACACTGACGCACCTGTTTGCTTTCGCAGCTGCCTCCCTGAGTACCTCCGCCTTAATGACCCCCATCCTCAAAGATCCAGCCATCGCACTTGTCTCCACCGGCAGCAACCGCGAGGAATGGATCTGCACGCAAGTGTGCTGTGGGAAGACAAAGGGGAAAACTTTCATGGCTGCTGCGGAACACATTGTCTCCGCGTCCCATCTGCTGAACCTGGAGAAGCTTGGAACTGCTACCAAAGCCTCGCTGGACAAGCTGAACCTTGCTCATCTGAAGAAAGACTATGGACTCTGAGACTTCAAAGCGAGAACCGAGTGCTGTTAGCCATTGTTGGTTCGAGTGCCGTTGTTATTGTAGTGACCCTTACCAGCCTGTGGATGAAGAGGGGCTGCCATCCGGTGATTAAATGAGTAACAGAAATTTCCTCTCCTTAGCGGGCCTGAACGTCAATGGCCTCGGCGACAGAACAAAGCAAGATAGAGTAACCACATGGACACGCACAGCCGCTGACATCCTTATCCTCTCTGACACCAGACTCCCAGACGATCACTCATACTAGAAATCGCCTGCCTTTTCTTCACTTCTCACTACCCCAAACATAGACAAAGCCGGTGGAGTTGCAGTCCTTACCAGAGATCCAGCCATTCTCTTCCGTAACATTACCACTCACCCTTCAAGAAGGCTGATATTTGTCACCGTCAGCCGTTCTGGCTTCACCTTAACCCTTATCACCGCATATTTTCAGATGATGCAGCCGACAGATGCTTGTTCTTAGCCAACGTTGTAGGTTCCGCTTTTGATCAGATCCCCCCTACCGCGCATGTAGTCCTTATCGGAGACCTGAACACAGTGGAAGACCCCACATTAGATAGAACCTCACAATCCGGCACGTCGCTTGAGAATGACAAACTTATCTCACGCTGTAGCCGTTTCGAGCTCTCTGACGCTTTCCGTACCCTTCATCCCAAGCTCCGCGAAAACACCTTCTACGCCGCCTCGAAACAATCCAGCTCTCGCATAGACCGCGTGCTTGTTTCCTGCTCGTTGTTGCCGCACCTAGAAATAGCTGCACACATTCGTCCGGGAGAATACATCTCAGACCATGGCTTTGGAATCAGGATAGCTTTCAAGCTTAAAGCCTCCACTCACCTGGGCCCTGGCATCTGGAGGTTGCACGCTGCTGCGATAGGAAGGCCCGGCATCCGGAAGGCTGTTGAAGCTGCGCTTACCAAGGCAGTTGAAGAAGGCGATGGGGATTTTGAACTGCTGCTGGGGAGGCTGAACGCAGGGCTACGCTCGTACATGAAGGAGGAGAATAAGCGGGTGAAGAGGACTACAGCGCATCTGGCAGAGGTGGTAGCAAAGTTGCATCAGGAGCAGATGCGGAATCCTGCATGTCAAAGGACAAGGGACCTGCTGCTCGTCAGGGAAACGCAGCTGCGGGAATACCATGCTTCAAGGAGAGACAGATTGCACGTGATGACGGGCACGAACAAGGAGCTAGCGGGAGAGGTACCCTCACCTTTTCTCTCGGCGCGAATCAAAGTTAGGAAGTAGAAAACGCAGATCGCGAAGCTGGTTGTCGACGAGAACAAGATTTCTGACTCATTTGGCTTTCTCAAAGCCGCGACAAAATACTTCACTGATATTTTTGGTGAGGACGGGCGAACGTCCTCGGTAAGATGGAAACCACTTCCTGGCAAGCGCCTGGATGCGAAAGCGGCGGCTGGGCTAGACGCAGGATGGAAGGAGAGGTGAAGCAGGCGTTTAAGGCGCTCGCGAACGGCAAGTCCCCCGGTAAAGACGGTCTCCCGAAGGAGCTGTTTGAACAAAACTGGGACGTCCTGGGGAAGAAGTTCTTCCGGATGGCGCGGTCTTTCGCTGACACCGCGTCATTACCTGCAAGCATAAAGGAGGCGGTGTCCATTCTGCTACATAAAAAAGGTGAAAAGGACAACCTGGATAACTACCGCCCGATCACTCTTCTCAACTTTAACTACAAAGTGTTGGCGCGTGTGGTAGCGGACTGGATTAAGCCTATACTACATAAGGTGATCTCAGAGGAGGAGTATGGCTTTATACCTGGCAGGCGTATCTCAGACGCGATCGGGGTGGTTGTCGACGTGATTGAGGCGGCGAATAAAGGAAATAAGGATTGGTACATGCTGCTGGTAGATTTCCGCAAGGCGTTTGACTCAATGTCCAGGTTCTTCCTCTTTACGATCCTCCGAGAAATGGGTTTCCCGGAGAGGTTTGTCGGCTGTGTGGAAGGCCTCCACAAAGACACAAAAACGAGGCTTCTCATTAATGGCTGGCTGGGCAAAGTGGTGAACGTCAATTCCGGGGTGCGGCAAGGCTGCCCTCTGGCTCCTTACCTCTTTCTTTGTGCAGTGGAGCCCCTGGCCCAGGAAGCAGTCCGGCGGAAGCTGGGTCTCTCCAACAAGGCAAATCAACGGTTAGTGTACGTTGGATATGCGGACGACACGACAATTTTTTTGGACGGGAAAAGGCAGATCGCGAGAGCTGAAAACTCATGGATTTCTTTGCGAGAGCTTAAGACGAACAGAGACAAATCGGTCGTCCTCCCGATCGGTCACAATCTTGGGCGGAGGCTGGGAACGCTTGGCGGATTTAAATGGGCGAAGGCGGATGAAGCAGAACACGTCTTGGGTGTGTGGGTTACCCTGTCTGGTAACAACGAGCCGACCTGGAAGCGGGCTTTCGAAAAAATTACGGTGGAAACAATTAAGTGGAAGGCCCTTTTTCTCACAATCGCGGCCAGGGTGGTCATCATCAACTGCTACATCACCCCGAGGATAGTGTATCAGACGCAAGTCTACCCACCAACCGAGGACATGTGGAAAAAACTCATGAAGCTGGTGCACAATTTTCTGACGGGGAACAACGCATCGGCGGAAAAGGGATTCGTTTTGTGGAACTGGGGTCTCCTCACCACGCCAAAGGCGGACGGAGGGTTGGGCGTGCTGGACCCAGAGATACTGCTGGCCTGCCTTGCCGCGCGAAGGATCGGTGGGCTGCTGCTGGATGGAAATGGGAAGAAGAAAGAGATAATGCTCACAGTGGCCGGTCTTCCTCTCGGGGAGGACACTTTTCTCGCACATGAGAGGCTAATGAAACACTGGCCAGGGGATGGCGAGCGGTGGAGACGAGCGTGCGAAACATTCATGAAATCGCCTATTGCTGACACGGGGACTTCCCGCAGCAGAGCAGAGGTGGCGCACGAAAGAGTCGTTTTCAATCGGAAGCTGCTGATGAACGGCACGAACCCGGTCGGAGGGCAAAAGGAGGCAAAAGTCCTATGGGAAACGCGGCTAGGGGATCTAGTTGTTACCACGCGTGATGGTGGTGCTGAGATTAAGGGTATTGACACACTAGAGAAGGAACTGCGCAGCAGGGACTCGGCTCGGCTGGCTCTCAAGGCCTTTGACGCAGCGCCGCAAAAGTGGAAAACCCTCTTAGTTCCAGGCAAGGGGAGGGAGGAAGAAGAAGGGGAGGTGCCCCCCCCTGCTGACGTGCCTACTGTGGGGGTACATGCAGCTGCGACAATCTTCCGCTCGGCAGTTTTTTCGGATGGGCAGTTGGCCCCCTTGAAGCAGTTGAGAGAGACCTGGGCCAAGCCTGAAGCAGTCTTGGTGAAGCAGGCCAAGTGGTCCGGCAAATGGAGTGGGAAGATAGATTGGAGTCGCATCATTCGCACCCGCAACTCACTGACTATCGCGAGCCGACCGCGGAATGTTTTCACACGGATTCATTACCTAAACTTGCAGGTTGGGGAGAGAGTGGATTTTCTCAGCAGCGACCCCAAATGCCCGTACTGCGGGGAGACGGAAACCCATGACCACTGCCTTTTCACATGCCCTGTAATTCAACCTGTGGTGTCTGGATTGCGCCGTGCTCTGCACATGCTCAACCCTGGGAGAGCCCTCGCCTCGCTGGGAGATTTACTGTTCAAGGAAACTGGAACTGCATCGGACTTTCCAGAAGCCACACTAACCGCCATCACCTTCCACCAACTTTGGGTGAAGCGTTGTGATGCAAGCTTTCGGGGGCAGAAGTTCAGGGCACGACGGGTGCTCAGGAGGATTGGTGCAGCTTTCAGGCTGCATGCGAGGGTGTACACGAGGGTGACGGGGGCAAAATGTTCGAAGCAGGGCAGCTCGGGGACGTATAAGAGGGTCAGAGGAGTGTTTGAAGCTGAACAAAAGATGCTGTCAAGAATCAGGGAGGCAGGAGACAAAAAGTGGACGTGGAATGCCAACTTTGCAGCGATCTGGAACAGGCCAAGGAGGGCTCACCTACCGCCCTAGTCACCCAGCTGGGCATCGCAAGGTGTTTGCCCTCACGCTCAGTTACGACTGCTATTGTTGTATGCATTGCCTCTTGATGTATACCTCAATTACAAAAAAAAAAAAAAAAAAGCTTTGGACCAATTATAAACTGCGCTGGAACTCTAGGATATTCTCGGACGTGAGCTTTGGGCTGTATTACTCGCTCCGGTACAAGTATATCCTGGGTAACGAAAGTACAAAAGCACAATAACATTGTGGACATGCATAATATATTTCCTTACAGCCAACCGTGGCCTGAACTTTCTATGCCTATATTATTGGGTCCACTAGAAGAAGCAGAATAAGCTACTGCCACAGAAAACCTTCGTTTATTCTAGCATCTAACAACACAAAAAATGACTAGAAGAGGGGCTGAGAGCACTCAACAGAGCATATGTACGGCAATAGGAGCTGCTGCCCCACCTGGTTGAGGATAGGCATGAACCAGATAGAAGAAATGAGGATGGACTTGGGTACAGGGTGGACTGTATGGTATTGTGGAGCCAATGTAATTCGCGTTTTTACCCAGAAATAGAGCTGAGAATTTATAGGTGAGGTATAGGACATTTTCTTCAATTAGTTCACGACGGCGGGGGCAGCCCACGTATGTCGGCAACAACGGGAGGGAAAGGAGGGGCAGGGGAGGGGGAGGAAGGGTGGACGTCTTTGGCTTTTGTAGTAGCAAGCTCACTGACCTCGGCGAGCAAAAGGAGCGTCGCCGGCGAAGTGTCCGCTGGCGGTTGGACCGGCGCCCGCGCCGACTTTCAATTAGTTCAGATTTTCTAGCTGAGATTTTATGAATTAGTTCCTCAATAATTCGTTACAGTCAGATCTTCTTGCTGATTGACATTCAGGCACATCATATGCAATTCACCTTGCACCCACCCACACAAAAAAAAGCACCTTACCCACAAACACCCATATATATAACGCTATAATAAACGCACACCCATATGGTGCGGCACTACTCGTTGGTGCGTGCAGCTAGTTGGTGCGGCACTACTCGTCACGTGCACAGCGCAAACGCCCAGGTCGACACCACGCCAGCGACTGCACCCACCAGCCACGTCGACCTCGGGATACACCCCCGAAGTCGGCCTCGCAGAAACCACCCCGGCGACCTTCGCACACGTCGCCCGGGTATCCCGGTCGACCGGGCAACCACGCCTGGTCAACCAGCTCAATCCGTAGCCAGCCATACATGCCCGCCATCCCCAGTCCAGCGTCCAGGCGTATAGGACGCCGTCCGGACACCCGGGTCGGCGTCCAGGTGCCCAGGACGTCGTGCAGTGTCAAACTCATATGCTATGGTCTATCTAGGCTGTAGTGGGGTAGACACTATAGGGTACAACATTTCTAGGTTTCCTACTTTTACCCACATACTTCCTAGTTCATTCATTCCTCATTTCTTCACATGGTATAGAGCAGGTTCCCTAGTGGGAACGCTTCTCAAAGCCCACCACTGAAATCAATTTTTTTTTTCCTGACCGGAGCGCGAGTCGCCCCTGCCCGAGGCGCGCCCCGTTGGCCGCCCTTAGTGGCCTGTCGCGCCCTCCTAGAGGCCCCTCTCACGGCCCCTCGCACCACCCATAGCGGCCCCGTCGCCACCCCTTACGGCCCCTTCGCCGTCCTTTGCGGCCCTGTCGCCGCCCCTCTAGGCCCCTCACGGCCCCTTCGCGGCCCCGTCGCCGCCCCTCTAGGCCCCCCGCGGCCCCTTCGCGGCCCCGTAGCCGCCCCTAGCGGCCCCGTCGCCGCCCTTTGAGGCCCCTCGCGGCCCCTTTGCGGCCCCGTTGCCGCCCTTAGCGGCCCCGTCACCGCCCCTATCGGCCCCGTCGCCGCCCCTAACGGCCCCGTCGCCGCCCCTAGCGGCCCCGTCGCCACCCTTTGCGGCCCCGTAGCCGCCCCTAGCGGCCCCGACGCCGCCCTTTGCGGCCTCGTCGCCGCCCTTCGCGGCCCCGACGCCGCCTCTAGCGGCCCCGTCGCCGCCCTTCGCGGCCCTGTCGCCGCCTCTAGCGGCCCCGTCGCCGCCCTTCGCGGCCCCGTCGCCGCCTCTAGCGGCCCCGTCGCCGCCCTTCACGGCCCCTTCAGCCGCCAAGCAGCCGAACCGCCGAGCTACCGAGCCGCCGAGCCGCCGAGCCGCCGAGCCGCCCAGCAGCCGAGCCGCCCAGCAGCCGAGCCGCCGAGCCACCGAGCCGAACCACCAAGCCGCCGAGCCGCCGAGGCCGCCGTCGAGCCGCCACTACCGAGCCGCTGCCGCCGAGCCGCCGTCGAGCTGCTACTGTTCCTACCAGCGCGCCCCGGCCTCACCCACCCGGACTGGTGAGAGCACTCCCTGCTAGACCACTGCTGTCATGGCTACCCCCAGTGTCCTTACCTATAATGCTGAGGGTCGTGCTGTTGACTTTGAGGTCTGGGTCGATGACCTCAAGCTCTTCCTACAGTGCGATAGGGCAGACGGACTCTCCCTGTTTGATCTCACCTCCGGTGCCTCTCCTGACCCGCCTGCTGATGCTGACAGCACTATTCACTCACAGTGGGCCACACGCGATGCTGCTGCCCGTCTTGCTGTGCGTCGCCACTTACCGACCGCTGAGCGTGCGCACTTTAGTCAGTACAAGAGTGCTAAGACCTTGTACGACGCTGTAGTTGCACGCTACTCTTCCCCTGTCACTGCTGCTCTTAGCCGCCTCATGCTGCCGTACCTGTTCCCTTGACCTTGCTGCCTTTCCCACAGTCGCTGACCTCATTACGCACCTTCGCACTAGAGACACTCGCTACCGCGCTGCGCTTCCTGCTGAGTTCTGTGCCAAGAACCCTCCACCTATGTACATCACCCTCTACTACATAGTCACCCGGCTCCCTGACTCCCTTCGCTTAGTTAGGGACCACTTCCTCTCAGTTTGCCCCACCACACTCACCGTTGACCTCCTTGAGAAGCGCCTCCTGGCAGCAGAGAAGAGCATAGTCCCTGTAGGAGCCTCTCGTGGTGACCCCCGTACCCCCGTCTTTGAGGGGTGTTCCGCCTCCCCCCTCTTGCCCTCTGTTGCTTCTGCTGCTGCGGCCGACCTGGTTGGCTTCGAGTCGGTCGGCGCTGCGTCTGCCCCTAGCGGGAGACGCCGCACCGGCAAGGGCGCTGGAGGGGCTGGCGGGGGCGGTGGAGGTGGCGGTGGTGGCAGTGGAGGGGGTGGGGGTGGTGGTGGGAGTGGTGGCGAGGGTGGAGGTGTCGGTGGCAGCAATGGAGGCGGAGGAGGTGGCGGCGGTGGCGGTGGGAGCGTAGGCGGCGGAGTTGGCGGAGGCGGCGGCGGCGGCGGTGGAGCTGGTCGCGGCTCTACGCAGAGGAGTGGCTCTGTTGGTGGTCCGCGCCAGCTGCAGCAGCGCACTCGTGAGACCCCGTCCCCCCAGCAGCTTCGTGAGTGGTACGCTGGGCGTCGGCGAGGTGGGGGTACTGATCCCTGTACCTACGTCCTCCGTACCGGCGACCGCACTGGTGAGCAGTGCGGGGGCTCGCACTCCACCCAGCGCTGCTTCGGCCGCCTGACGGACGCTTGGTGTCACCAGTTCACTGACGCCACTGAGATCCCTCGTTGGGGAGAGCTGTCTAGGGCGGGGGTTGCTATCTTTAATCTTGACTATGATGCTATTCTTGCTGCCATGTATGCTGTGTCTGCTAGTAATGAGGGTGACTGTTACCTGTGTGTTCCGCCTGACCCGGGCATTGAGGATGCTGCTCTAGGTGCTGGTGAGGCTGCTGCTCTAGGTGCTAGTACGTCTGCTGCCCCAGGTGCTGGTGAGTCTGCTCTCTCAGGTACCACGTTGGCTCAGGCCTTCCACACCTTCACCCTTGACTCGGGTGCTTCCCGCTCCTTCTTTCAAGACCGCACCACGCTTACGCCGCTTAGTCGGCCGGTTGCGGTCTCCCTGGCGGTCCTGTCCTTGCTCGCTTCTCCACTGTCTTACCGTGTCCGGCAGCCCCCTTTGGCACTCTGTCAGGTCTCTACCTCCCCTCGTTCTCTACGAACTTGGTGAGTGGTGCTGATCTACTCGATGAGGGGGTTGACCAGTTCACTCCTGCGAGTCAGCGAGTGATCCACTGTACGTGTGCTCGGACGGGCCTACACTTGGCCACGTTCACCCGTCGGCCGGGGTCGAGCCTGTACACCCTCACTACTGAGTCTCCTCCGGTTGCTGAGTGAGGTCAGGTAGCTGCGTCGAGTTAGGTGTTTGCTGCAGCGTCCAGGTCTGGTCCTGAGTCTGCTCCCTGCTCGTGTCGTCTCCTGTCCCACCAAACTCTCCGTTGGCACCACCGCCTTGGTCACCCCTCCCTACCTCGTCTCCGAGGCATGGCCTCCCGTGTCCTTGTCTCTGGTCTCCCCCGGTCCCTCCCTCCCCTCCCTCCGGGGCCTGCCCCTACCTGCGTCGAGGGGCGGCAGCGTGCCGCCCCTCACTCCTCCGAGTTTCCTCCGACAGAGGCTCCCCTGCAGACTCTTCACATGGACGTCTGGGGCCCCGCCCGCGTCCGTGGCCAGGATCACGAGCGTTACTTCCTGTTGGTGGTTGACGACTACTCGCGTTCCACCACGGTGTTCCCCTTGCGCAGCAAGGGTGACATCACTAAGGTGTTGATTGACTGGATCTGCGTGGCTCGTCTCCAGCTCAGACATAGGCGGGGAGTTTTCCTCTGCCCGTCTGGGAGCCTTCTGTCATGCACAGGGCATCCGCCAGACCTTCACGCTTCCGGCCTCTCCACAGCAAAATGGGATTGCTGAGCACCGCATTGGCATGGTCATGGACGTTGCTCGTACGTCCATGATCCATGCAGCTGCTCCCCATTTTCTGTGGCCGTTTGCGGTTCAGTACGCAGCGCATCAGCTCAACCTTCAGCCTCGGGTCTCCTTGCCAGAGACCTCCCCCACCTTGCGGTGGATGGGTAAGGTTGGCGATGCGTCTGCGTTTCGTGTTTGGGGATCTCGGGCGTTTGTCTGCGACTTGTCTGCGGACAAGCTGTCCCCCCGTGCTGTTCCCTACGTCTTCCTTGGCTTCCCCCCTGACGCGCCTGGTTGGCAGTTTTACCACCCCACCTCGCGCCGTGTTCTGTCCTCCTAGGACGTCACCTTTGACGAGTCGGTGCCTTACTACCATCTCTTCCCCTACCGCACTGCGCCCCTCCCCCCGCCGCCGCTCTTCCTTGCACTAGGTCCTCCCCCAGTAGACCCTCTCCCCCCTCAGGGTCCTGCCCCGTCAGGTGTGTCCCAGGTAGACGTAGTCGAGGCTGTCGAGGTAGCTAGTCACTCTAGTGCTGCTAGGGGTGCTGAGCCTGCGGGTGCCGGATCTGGGGGTGCTGAGCCTGGGGGTGCGGAGCCTGGGGGTGCTGAGTCTAGGGGTGCTGAGCCAGGGGGTGCGGAGCCTGGGGGTGCTGAGCCTGGGGGTGCGGAGCCTGGGGGTGCTGAGCCTGGGGGTGCGGAGCCTGAGGGTGCAGAGCCTGGGGTTGCTCGGTCTGCTCGTGTGGTCTCTGGCGATGTTTCGTCAAGGCGGGAGCCACCCTCTGCGCAGGTGCTGCGCGAGTGGTTTGCCTGGCGCTTGAGCCGTGCTGCTGGAGCAGGAGGTGCTACTGTTGCTATAGGTCCTGGAGGTGCTCGTACTGGCGGTACTGGAGCTGCTGGGACTGGGGGTGCTGCTAGGGCTACTAGAGTTGGTCCTGCTGGAGGTACTGCTGGAGCTGCTGACGGTACTGGAGCTGACGCACCTGCTGGAGCTGGAGCTGCTAGAGCTGCTGGAGCTGGAGCAGCCTGTCCAGTCGCGGTCACAGCTACAGCCCGCCTCCCCCCTGCCTGCTCCTTCTCCCTACACTGGTCCTACTGGAGGTTTCGCTGAGAGTCGTGAGCTTGCGTCTTGTCCTGCGTTGCCTGTTCGTGCTGCTCGCACTAGTAGTCGTGCTCAGCGTCTGCGTCCTCCTGCGGTCCCAGGCACACACCAGATGGCATTTTGTCCTTCCACTGCTCCTCTGCATGTCCCGTTGCCGTCTCCTCTAGAGTCCTCTCTTCCTGTCGTTGCTGACCCGGAGTCTGACTCCCTTCGTGCCGCCAGTCCTACGGTCACGCGTCTCCTGGCTACTATTGTCAGTGACCCTTCCTTTGAGTCCACTGATGTGCCTGCCTTGGTTGCTGAGCTTGTCGACTTTGCTGCTCGCTATCGTCTAGACTACGCTGCTAGTCTTGTTGCTGAGTCTGAGTCTGTCTATCCTCCGTCCGTCGGGGGTGAGTGTGCTCTTCTCACGGACGTCCTTGAGGACAAGCAGGAGGGGTTCCAGTGTTTTGGTGCTGCTTTGCCTCATCTCGTGTCCACGCTGATTGCCCCTGAGGGAGACCCGGATGCACCAGACATCCCGACTCCTCGATTGTACGCTGAGGCAATCGAGGGTCCCTACTCCTCACAGTGGCAGTCAGCCATGGACGCAGAGATGGCAACCTGGAAGTCCACAGGCACCTACGTCAACGAGGTTCCCCCACCTGGGGCGAACATCGTCAGTGGCATGTGGATTTTCCGGGTGAAGCGGCCGCCGGGTTCTCCGCCTGTCTTCAAGGCGCGTTACGTGGCTCGAGGCTTCAGTCAGCGGCAGGGAGTTGACTACTTTCAGACCTTCTCCCCCACCCCGAAGATGACCACTCTTCGGGTGCTGCTGCACATATCCGCTCAGCGCGACTACAAGCTTCACTCTCTTGACTTCAGCACAGCTTTCCTGCAGGGTAGCCTGCACGAGGAGATCTGGCTGCGCCGCCCACCTGACTTCACTGGGTCGTTTCCTCGTGGTACCCAGTGGAGCCTTCGGCGGCCAGTCTACGGTCTACGCCAGACGCCCCGTGAGTGGCACGACAGATTGAAGACTACACTTGCGGCTCTTGGTTTTGCTCCTTCTACTGCTGACCCGTCGCTGTTTCTGCGCACTGACACCTCTTTTCCGCCGTTCTACATCCTCGTGTACGTCGACGACTTGGTCTTTGCCACAGCTGACACTGCTGGACTCGCCCACGTGAAGTCCGAGCTGCAGAAGAGAAACACGTGCACAGACTTGGGTGAACTGCGCAGCTACCTTGGCTTGCAGATCACCCGGGACAGATTACAGCGCACCATTTGTCAGTAGATCTGCACTATGGATGCCCGATTGATCCTGGAGAGGGTTACAGGCGCGTTCGCCGGGGGGGTTATGGGCGCACTGACCCGCTACTGAAATAAGCCCTTTTATCCCAATGGTCTAGTGGTTGGGATTCTGACATGGTATCAGAGCGGTCTCGGGTTCGTATTCCGGTGTATGCACATGTAGGCCGGTGCCGCTGTGCTTTGTCCTGGGCCTCCCTGTCTGGGGGGGTGTTAGTAGATCTGCATTGTGGATGCCCGATTGATCCTGGAGAGGGTTACAGGCGCGTTCGCCTCGGGGGTTATGGGCGCACTCACCCGCTACTGAAACAAGCACTTTTATCCCAATGGTCTAGTGGTTGGGATTCATACATGGTATCAGAGCGGTCCCGGGTTCGAATCCCGGTGTATGCACATGTTGGCCGTTGCCATTGTGCTCAGTCTCGGGCCTCCCAGTGTGGGGGGGTGTCAGTAGAGCTACACTGTGAGATCCCCGATCGATCCTAGGGGGGTTTATAGGCGTGTTTGCCTGGGGGGTTATGGACGCACTGACCCGCTACTGAAATAAGCCCTTTTATCCCAT